TACTTCCACAATATCCTGTCTCATATTCATCGTTTGTACAATATCTCCTCTCTTCCCTCTCCCAGAAGGAGTCCCCTGGAGCCTTACCACCCAACGTTCACTTCAACATGAGCATCCAAGATGGCAACCACGTCGGCCGTGGCCACCTCCCTGCCAGTGTTGCGAGCAGCAGCAAGACCTTTTCTCTCGGTATGCCGTATTATTTTCAGTAGTCCTGGAGACTTCTGGTTGTAAAGCTTAATCTTCTCATCCAAGTACGCCTTTAATTCTCCTGCCAACCAAATGCACACCTATAGAAATTCTGAATGCAATAATCAATGCGGTGCAAAAATTTTATACTATTGGACTACCTCCAGCACAGGATGGGCAGTTGTACAGCCTTGACTGAGAAAGTAGTGTTTCCCTACCCCTGCTTCTCCTCTCCCTTCCAACCACAGGATTAATGTTCCCGATCCTAACTTTTCCATTGAATTTAAACTATCTTAGCATAATGATACTGCTATTTGCCAGGCACTGTTATATGTGCTCTAAGTGTATTGAGAAATTCTTACAAGAATGAATGCGGGACTTCCTTGGTGGCGCAGTGGTTAAGAATCTGCCTGCCAATGCAGGGGACATGGGTTCGAGCCTTGGTCCGGGAAGATCCCACATGCCACGGCGCAGCTAAGCCCCTGCGCCGCAACTACTGAGCCTGTGCTCTAGAGCCCACGAGCCGCAACCACTGAGCCCACACACTGCAACTACTGAAGCCCGCGTGCTCAAGGGCCTGCGTGCTGCAACTACTGAAGCCCACACGCCTAGAGCCCTCTTTCTGCAACAAGGGAAGCCATCGCAGTGAGAAGCCCACGCACCGCAGCGAAGAGTAGCCCCCGCTCGCCGCAACTAGAGGAAGCCCGTGCACAGCAACAAAGACCCAACGCAGCCAAAAATAAATAAATAAAATAAATACATTTTTAAAAAAAGAATGAATGGGACACACCTGACCTAACTAAGGTAGAGGTGCCGATGGACAGACATTGCCGAGACAACCTGGAACTTCTCCACAGCTAAACTCTCAAGATTTTCTGGAGAGTACATAAACAACTGAAATTGTTTTGTCTTGTTTTAGGTATTCCTACTTGAGCTACTCAAGGACCAATTGGGACAGAATACCAAGATGAATCTCCTTGCCAGCTTCTAGCTAACAAGTTTATCCCCAACATTATGCAAATAAGATTCACTATTTCCAGATTGTTTACAGTTTCTTCTTGTCTCTCCTCTCTTTTATAAAGCCTGTCTATGCATTCATATCATTTTTGAAACACTTGGATTAAATCTGTTGACACTTGAAATATTTGACCTGATGCAAATGAGGCTTCACATCTAGGGGGAAAAAAGGAAGGGGGTACATCTCTAACATCGATTTGTGGCATTTCAATCTTACTACCAATGATACTGAGGTAAACAAGGAGGATAACTCTAGCTAACATTTACTATGGGCAAGCCCTAGGCTGAGGACTCTGCATGTATGATTTAATCCCCAAAACAGTCCTATCAGGAAGCACTATTATCTGTCCCATGTCACAGATGAGGAAATGGAGGCAAGAACTAGCTGAGAGACACCACCCCAAAGTCACGTGAACAGTAAGTTTCTCCTGTGGCCTGCATGGTAGAGGTGTCCAAACATTTTCCTCAGTTTAACAAAAAAAAGATTTTAACACAATACATAATTCAGTGTAGGCCCAAACTGGCTGATGTTTCCATGGTTACTGAGAGAGAAGGTGATTCTTGTCCCAGTGACACCTGTCAAAGAATGACCAACAATTCTCTCTGCTGTGCCTATCCAAACAAATTCTCTCTATGAATGGGTTCCCGACCCAAGTGAGCGGGATGTTATATGATAGGGTCCAGAACAGCTGAGAACCTCCTCTGGCTTCTCTTTGTGTGTCCTCTCTGTGTCTGTAAACTTGTTATCTTTCAGTTTCATTGCTCCACAGGAAGGAGTCTCGAATTAACTCATCTATTTCCGTGGAATGTGGAATTATAGAACCATTGTTTTGGGGGTTTTTTGATCCACAGAAAAAGACATCTTCCAGCTCAGCACTTGCATTGGCCCCCTGACGAAGGTGAGTCCCAGAGAAGTGAAACGTTTGCCTCACATCATGTCAGAAGCAGGGAGTGGAGCCAGGATCTCTTCAGATGCTAGAACAGAGGTCTTTCTAATCAAGCTCCTATTTCTTGCTTGAAAACCAAGTGTGAAACTTGGTATCAGCCTCCATGCCCAAAATGGAATGAAATCTGCCATCCTCTTTCCTTTGGTTTTCAGTGGAATTTTGCTAAAGAAGTGGACCTATGTTTTGTGCAGTTATATTGGAAGGACAAAAGAGAAAGGTATTGCTTTTAAGCAAGAAAGGGGGTCTTTTCAGTGTCTGGAAATTCAAAAGGGAAGGTTACAGAGGTCATTTGTCTCTTCTCCTTTGGCCAAACTGCCCTTAATTTGATACTGCAATAATCCATCTGGTATTAAAGATCACCCAGAGAAGGGACAAATTCTGCCTCACGTGGGCTCTGCCACTTCACAGCCCTTATTATTAGAAATGTCTTCCTTATTGCTAGCCCAAATCTCTGGCTTGTGACTCAGTTCTAGTTTCTTTTATTTGATGCCCAACATTAACAAAATGAAGAGCTAACACTTGCTGAGAGGTTACTATGCACTCAGTGCTGTTCGTCATCCATGTATTATGTCAGTGAACATAGTGGCTAAAGCTAGGGCTCTGGACTCTAAAGTTTAGAGTCAAATTTCAGTTCTGACACTTACCAGCCGTGTGATATTGAGCAAGTTTCTTGACCAGACTATGCCTTAGTTTTTTGCATCTGTGAAATAGACAAAAAAAAGTGGTTCCTTCCTCACAGGTTGTTGTCACAATTCAAATAGTTAACATACATAAGGTATTTAGAACAAATGATGTTAGCTGCTATTATTATCTCTTTAATTCTCGCTCTAGTCCATAAGCTCATGATTATTCTCTACACTCATGCTTTGCAGATAAGGAAACGAGCACGGAGAAGTTAAGTTACTCAAGGGATAGAGCTTTTAAGGGAGGAAACAAGACTCTGAAATCCATAAAGTGAAGACTCAAGTGTACTACCACCCACTTCACCATGTGTTGTCCTTGGTGGGCTGGACCAGCCTGGGCAGAGGGGCAGGACGAGAGCAAGAGACCCTGCCACCTTCGAAGAGTCTCAGCACCCAGAGCTCCCTTTTCTCCGGGCTTAATTACCCAGGAAGATTGGGGCTTCCTCCGAGGGAGCAATTCCACATCCTTTCTTGGTGTCTGGGATCTTCCTTTGGACCCACTTCGCTCCCTTGGGTCTCCCTCGTGGTGCACGGGACGGGCACAGGTGGCTTTGGAGTCACACAGCCCTGGGCCTGACTCAATGCAGACTCGCCACGCAACTGGGTCACACTGCGTCACCTCTCTTAGTTTTCTCTTCCGTGTGAACAAAAGGATGATCCTCTGTCTTGACTTGGGAAGATTAATGTACCCAGCACAAAATGATCCCTCAACAAATGATCCCTTTCTTTTCCCTCCATGAGAAGTCCAACTTCTTGTCCTAAACTCTAAAACCCTTTTCAGTCTAGCACAGTTCATAAACGGTCATTTTTACTACTATTCCTTGATCAAATTGCTCACCATTTGAGCTAAACTTGTCCACTAATATGATCTCCAACAATTGAGAGGGTGTCCAGTTGATGATGCTGGTGATGGCTCTTTGTATAACAGAGAGAGCTTCATCCATGAATATGAGAATGACAGAGAGATGGGAGTTGTGAAGGATCTCTCTTCTGAAGACACCTCTAAGAGATTTTTTATAACCATATTACTCTTTTTTTTTTTTTTTTTTTTTTTTGGTGAGGGGAAAGGAAGACAGCAAAGGAAAAGAATATATTACAAAGTTAATGTGTATTTGGTAAGAACAATTGTGATTAATTTTTCTTTGCAGCATTTCAAAAGTGAAATGCCTAGATTTAACATTTAACTTTCAGCTTATTTGAGTTATTGTAGGCTTTAAAAAAAATCAAATTGCCTTTTTTTTTTTTTTTTTTTTTTGCGGTACG